TGAGCAACTAAGCACCTTAAATTGAGAGAGGCAGATGAGAAAATGTAACTCAAAGTACCTGACACATAGTGTGAAAAACACATAAATAATAAATTGGATTCCTTATTTTATTCTTAGTAAGGATACTATAATGTTGACCACAAAAAATATTATTTAGGATCAGGTTTGGTTGAGAATAATTTAAAAAAAATCACAGCTGAAAGAAGCTTAAATAAAACTTTGTTTCACACAAAATCCAGATAAAGAATAGGAAGGTTTGGTATGATAGTTCTGCTCTAAGAAGCCCACTTGCATCTTCCATTTCTATGTTTTGTCATCCTCAGTGAGTGGCCATTGTCTTCATGAATTGAGATAGTGGTCTCTGGGTCCTTGTTTCATGTGGGAGAATGAAATAAGAGGGGAAGACTGTCAAAAAGAGAACACAGCAGTCTCTTAAGGTTCTTGAAAGCTTATGTCCTAGTGGCAAGAACTAGCCTACAAGGGAGACTGAGAGATGTAGACTTTATTCTAAGGAAGGAGGAGACATTGAAGGCTAATTAATAAAGTCAACAACTATTTCAAATTGTCTTTATTATCCTCAAGGCCTCAAAAGCTACCTTTATTTTTCCCTTTTTTTTCCTCCTGCTTTAGCAATCATAGGCATACCTATTTTCTGTTCTATCTTCAACTTTCTTTGTTCTTTTATGTATGTGATGAGCATTCCTATTATTTTCCTGCACTAAAAAAAAATTATTTTGCACTTATTAAAGTTGAACAAACATAAGTTTTAGAATAATCCTTAGGAACTTTGGGCTTCACTGGTGGGTCAGACAGTGAAGAATCCGCCTGCAGTGCAGGAAACCTGGGATGGATCTCTCCACTATCTCTCCACTATCGATCTCTATTCCTGCCTAGAGAATTCCAGGGATAGAGGAGCCTGGTGGGCTATAGTCCATCGCAAAGAGCTGGACATTACTGAGCAACTAAGTCATGTGAGCAACACATACACACATGCTTAGGAACTTCAATTTGGGACTCTTTTCTCTAGACTTCTCTCATAGCCCTGTATCTCAGGCTGCTTTATATTAGACTTCCTTGTGTATGTACAGTTCTATGCTCACCCAGTATGTGAGCTGAAAAAAAAGTGAAAGTTAGTTGCACAGTTGTGTCTGACTCCTTGTGATTCCACGTGCTGCAGCCTGTCCCGCTCCTTTGTCCATGGAATTCTCCAGGCAAGAATACTGGAGTGAGTTACCATTTCCTTCTCCAGGAGATCTTCCTGACTGGGGGATCGAACTGGGTCTGCTGCACTGCAGGCAGATTCTTTACCAGCTGAACCACTAGGGAAGCCCAAGTGAAAGTAAAAGTTACTCAGTCATGTCTGACTCTTTGCGACCCCATGGACTGTAGTCCACGGAACTCTCCAGGCCAGAATACTGGAGTGGGTAGCCATTCCCTTCTCCAGGGACCAAACCGAGGTCTCCCACATTGCAGGCGGATTCTTTACCAGCCGAGCTACCAGGGAAGCCCAGAATGTGAGCTAGGGAGATTAAAATCTACACCTTATACAGCTTCATATCTCCTCTTAGAATAACAGTATTGTGCACATTTTAAGTATTTATTGTACAAACATTTACATTTAAATCCATACAGAATTGTCACTATGAATGATTGAATATTTCACAACACATATATAAACAGTTATATGTCATACCCGTGATTTGTTTCTGAAATTTTATAAGTAGGATTTTATAACTGAATCATTGTAAAATATATTTGTGGGTCACAAAATATAATTCTATTATGAATTCTTCTATAAAGCCAAATTTATTCCTCTTCCAATTTATATATTTTCCAGTTTGGGTTTTCAAATGTTTACTTTCCTTACAGTGGGTACTTTTATACTTCTCTCAACAAAAAATAAGTTTTCAAAACACAGTTCTGTAACTTCTAGTCAGATTTATTGAGATATACTTTACATACAGAAAAATTCACACTTTTTAAGGCCTATTGGTCTATGCTAGCTAAATTTCTATGATTACTGCAAATAAAAAGCTATCATCTACTTTCTAAATCTCTCTGAAGCCTTATGTTCTAGGGACAAACAGCAGAAATCTCTTAACTGAAGTGAAACAATTTGAAGAGCTTACCAAAGGAACTGTGAAGACTATGCTTTATTTGATGAGAGAAATAAAATCTCCAATCAAGCTTTTTAAAACTTACTTAATCTTTTCTAAGTTTCCTAATCATTTTTAAAATTTTTTGCTTTTCCAGAAAACAGTAGGAAGAAGAAATCTACAAGATGGGCAATTCTTATAATAACTTTATAGGCTGATTCACACGGTATGACCTATTTTTCAAAGACTGAAATACTGAAAGGAAATAGAAAAGGACATACACTGATTATACTTGCCATGAAATCATATATGCATAGGAAAATACATGATTATTACCTTAGCACTTACAATAAACTTTATATTATGCGTGACCTCAGTCACTTCTGTAGTGTCTGACTCTTTGCGACCCTATGGACTGTAGCCTGCCAGGCTCCTCTGTCCATGGGTTTCTCCAGGCAAGAATACTGTTGTGGGTTGCGGGGTCCTCCTCCAGGGAGGATATTCCTCACCCAGGCATCAAACCCAAGTTTCTTGCATTGCAGGCGGATTCTTCACTGCTGAGCCACTGGGGAAGCCCACTTCACACTACACATATGGGCAGACTTCAAAAGGGTTGGCTCAGGAACAAAATTCTTGATGCAAAATGTAGAGAAATGCAAGAATTATGAATACTTCACTTACACCTGATATAAATATTCTATTCAATCTAGGACCACTATGTCTAAAAGTTAGTTACAATAAAAATTCAATAATGAGACTAGAATCTACAGAGCTCTCCCTCTATCCGGTACTTCTGAGTTATAAGCAGCTTCAAGTGTTCAAGTTCATATGGACTCATCAGAGTGGCTTTTCTAAATGACAGCTGTGTTCAAATTTTAATGCGGCACCACTTTATTGTTCTCTCTATACAGCACTTTTGAAAAACTAGAAAATGATATAATCTTTCCTTGTAGGACTCTGTCTGGTTAAATTTGCCTTTGGTCCCTGAAAAAAGCACATCTTTATTCCCCACCCTGCTCCCTACAGCCCCTCCTTCTCAGGCCTGCCCTCACTATCTCAGGTTCCAGACTCTTACCTTCTCTAAATTAATACTTAAACTATCAAGTTGGACTGCAACCAGATACATTAAATCCTGCAATATGCTAATAGCTAATACTAGCTCAATAGGTGATCTCTCTGAGGTGTTTCTATTAAAAAAAACTCATTCAAGTTAATTTTGTGTACAGGATTCCAAGCATAATGGCAGGTGGGATTTTTTGGTGAATATAGGACCCTTTTCAAAGCTCCTTAAATCAAGTTCAATCTATTGCCTTTATGTTGTAATATTGAAATGAAAATTTCTGAAGGAACTCTACATATACTAGCTTAAAATGTTTCCGAATATATTCCTCACAATTTCCTTTCCATAAAGTGTTTTGATCAATCCAACGACACTTACTTTTATAATGTCATTTACTGACGGTGGCAGGATATTTTGTCACTTACTTAAAAATTAATACATCAAACGAAATTAAAGCGAAAAAAATCCATCAAAACAGCTTGACTCCTCTTTGCTGGAGTTCCTCACCCAAGTCAACGACATAAATCCTTGAGTTTGCTCACTTTTGGAATCATGTCTAACATATTTGATCAGAGGGGGCAACCTTCAGGTCTGACTTGGAGGAATTTGATCAGGAAAAAAAAAAAAAAAAGATGGAAAAGCAGAATGTTGCCAAGAAGGTGTGGCGTGGGATTTGGGGTGGAGGCCAGAAAAAGAAAAAGAAAAAAAGGAAAGTTCCTTCATCCACTTGAAGAAACATTTATTTCTGCCTCCCACAGGCCAGGGCCTAGAATTCTGTTGACGTCTTCTCTGGAAGGGTAATCCCGTTGACAAATGTCAGATTCTGATTATCTGAGGAACTCGAGTCGCCCTCGCTTCCAACCCTCTCCTGAACTGATTTGAAGCGGGGGAGATAGGCTGGAAAGGGGAGGAAGGCAGAGGCGAAGGGCGCCTCGCAGAGCACATCTGCTGTGTTCAGCCGGAGCGTCTGTCAAGCAGTGGGAGAGAGAAGCGCATGGAGCCACCAGCCCACTCTCGGGCGAAACTCGCCAGAAAAAAGCCCGCCCTGCCTCCGCCCCCTGCCCGCGGCTTCTGCTGGGCGGCGGTGGAAAGGCAACTTTTGGAAACTTGAAAGGGGGGGCTGTGTGGCGGACAGAAAAGCGTAACCTCAGCAGGTCGGGCTGAGGCTCCCCGGACAGCGGGCGGGCCAGGCCGGGTCGGGTCGGGTGTGGAGCCGGAGCCGCGTCCCGAGCGGCGGCTGCAGCGAGGCCGGGAAAGGCGGGCCGAGGCCCCGCCCCCCAGGCGCAGTTCCCCGTCCGGCCTGGCGAGGGCGCCGGCGCGGCAGATCAGGTGACCGAGCGCTCGTCCGGGGCTGCGGGGAAGCGGCCTCGTTCTCAGCCGCCAGAGACGCCGCCGCCTCCGCCACACCTAGTGGAGGAGCCGGGGAAGGCGGCTCGGCGGTCGGGGCCGGGGCGGAGAGCGCCCGGGCTGGGGACGGAAGGGCGGCGGACCGAAGGCAGGAGGCTGTCGGGGCGCGGGCTGCTGCGGGGAAAGGGACGAAGAGGCGTCCGCCGCGGCTCGCTCTGTCCACCCGCACGGGATTGGGGCGCGAGGGCCATGGACGCGCTCCCCTGAGACGGAGGTCACGGGCGGGAGGGGAGGAGGCCCGACCGAGGTAGCTGCGGAGGCCGCGGGCCGGTGACTGGGCGCGAGGCCGGCAGCGCCGGCCCCACCACTGCCGCCACCACCATGTCGCGCTCCGTGCTGCAGCCTAGCGAGCAGAAGTTGGCGGAGCAGCTCACCATCCTCAACGACTGGGTCGTCGGCATGGTCACGCGCCTCTACAACATCAAGAAGGTGCGCACGGGCCGGCGAGGCCTCGGCGGGGGCGGCGGGCAGGCGGGGACGGGAGGAAGGGCCGGGGAGGCCTGGGCCCTGGGGCCGGCGGGCGGCGCCCGGGGCGGCAAGCGTGGCATCGCGGCGGCAGGCCCGCCCAGGGTCGCCGGGATGCGCCGCGGCCTAATGCGGAGCCCTGACGTCTCTCCCGCCGGGTCGCGGGCCGGCCAGGGGCGGAGAGGAGCCATTTGCCCGCTCCCAGCAATGGGAACTGGCCGGTTCGGCGTGGGGTGAGGGGCGCCGCCGCCGCCCCCTCCTCGGCGCCCTGGCCCCCGGGACTGGGTCTGCGCGAAAGGGAGGAGGATGGATGAGATACTAGATGGGGGCTAGGAAAACTTGGGTCTTCCGTAACTGAGATTGAATGGTAGAAATCGGGCGGAGATGGAATCAGTTTTTTTTTTTCCCCCTCAGTTCTTTTGGTATGTAAGTGGGAGCGTGAGAAGGGAATGGCTCATCTGGATGAACCCTACATCTCCACTTGGCCATTTTATTCTGGATCGCCAAATAAAAGCCATTGAAGAGTGTGTTGACAATTTGGAATTATTTCATTTTGAAGGTGGAAAGGAGGTGGGAGTGAGGGTGGAACCAGTTTTCTCCTGAAATACTTCTGGGTTGTGAGTCACTAGGACAGGAATAACAACCTTCTTGTCTGTCTTTACTCCTCCTCATCTTAGTTTTTCCAACCATGTCGCTAATACCGAAACATCGTTGTTTAAATTTCTTTACGTTCGGTGTCTGTACAAAATAAAAACTGTGATTGTGTTGCTCTTATGCTGATTTTATGGTGTAGTCTGATAATTTGAGTAGCTCTAGCTAATAGACCCATTGAAAGTACATGGCTTTCAGAACATTAAGGAATGAAAGGCTGAGTTGCAATTAAGAAAAATAGATGGAAGGATAGAGCAAATATTACATTAATTTATTTTAGAAAAGAAAGACCAAAATTCTATTCCTTTTAAGGCAAAGTTAGTAAGTTTTTAGTAATTTGATAGAGAAAACTGAAGATTTTTTGATGCAAGCTGGATCCTGACAGTTTCCAGTGTGTATTTGATGTTATATCTTCATAATTTTTTTGTTGGCTTTTTAATGCATTCTGAATATTTCCTTTTAGTTTAATCATAGCAGTAGAGTTGTAGCCCTTGTAAATTAGGTCTCCTGAAGAAAAGAATACTTAAAAAACGTATGATGGAGTTCAATATAAAACTGACCTATTTCAGCAATTTGATGTAGACACTGAAATTCTAGAGGAGAAGACTGTCCTGGTTTAATAATGATAAATTTTGTGTAGCGATGGCTGTGTTCCATTGGCTTCCCTGAATAGAAGGATTGGTTGACTTTAAACCTAGTGCACTCTGGAGAGTAAAATGCCTCTTCACACTTCAATTTTGTGTGACAGGAGCTCAGGGTCATTCCAATGAAGCCCTCTGCATTTACCGAGAAGAGACTTGGTTACAAGTTTGTAATAATTTTAGATAGTATTACTTCCAGGTTCATTGACCTGAACTTTTTTGTGAGATTATGCTCCTTAACTTGGAAATTCGTTCCTATATGAGCTTTGTGCAAAAAAACAAGCAAGACAAACATCGCTAGAAGTTACTAGACATGTGGTATTGTGGTTAAAGGAAATGGTTATGATGGTTTCCAAGAGAGGAAGTGAGAGTAACATCAAAAGTGATTCGGGTATTAAGGCAAAATTCCTCTTTTTAAAGCATTCATTACACATTTTTATGGCATGAAAATAGTGAGATTTTACAAATTTCATCTTCATGAATGATCTCAGATGAGATTAAATTCTAGGCGTTCAAATGCTTCAGTTCACTGCCTTTTCTCAAAAGCATGTTTTTTCACTTCCTGTTTTGAGAAACTTTAGGCTCTTGCATTACTGAACTAGTACAATTTAAAGTGAGTTGATCATTATATCCAAGTGTCTAATATTTTGAATTATTGAAATGTTATATTTCAGCACTTAACACATTTATAATTTCTTGAGAAATACTTCTGCCTTGTCTGAGTGACTGTGAGTTCCCGCTCAGTGGGGACTGTTATCATTTTTGAATTACTAGTCCTTGGGGTCTTCCCTGGTCCATGAAGCTTTCAGTTAGGACTTGTTGAAAAGGATGAATACATTATGCGTGTCATGTATGTATGTGTGTATATGCAACATATATATGAGCGTGTGTGTGTGTAATCTTGCTCTAGTTTTAATACTAATAGCTTTTGATCTGCCCTCCTTGTGATATTTTATATACAGATACATCAGATGGATTTTGAGTCTTTCAGCCTGTATAGAGTTTTGTATAAAGCCTGGCATATCTTCCTGGATGGCTGGGATTGAAACATTTCAAAAATCTTGCCTAAAAAAGTGATTAAGATCTGTTTACCATGTGTTTATAAGATTCGTGCTGTCTACATTTTTATGACAGTATAAGCCCATGTAATCTTTTCAATCTCAGTGTCTTACAGTCCTCAAAAAAAAAAAAACCCTTCTATCACATGATACATGTCTGCCAGTCAGTTACAACATTTTCATTAATTCATGTTTGCATTAGATTGTCTATCAGATCTGATTACTGTTTCAACTAAAAGTCTGCAATGGCAATATTTTAGTGAGCATATACAATGAAAAATACTTCAGTGACCTAAGTATCAATAAAATAACTTTAAGTTACTATAACCAAGAATAACAGGCTTTAATACTTAGAGGAATATAACATGGCCCCTGAAAAATATTTTGCTATTTGAAGTAAAATTTTATCAGTTGAGTAATTTTTGATATCTTAATATGTGCAGGCTTGAGAAGGAAATGGCAACCCACTCCAGTATTCTTGGCTGGGAAATCTCACCAACAAAGGAGCCTTGTCCATGGGGTCGCAAAAGAGTCGGACAGCACTGAGTGATTAAACAACGAACAAATATGTACAGATTATGAAAATTTTAAGAATTTGTGATCAAATCAGGGATTTAAGAAGATGTGAAGGAGGATTTTAGGGGGAAAAGGCGAAGGTGGTAGGTAGTTTTACATTTAAATTTATTTATTTCATAATGTCTTAATTTTTTCAAAATTAAAAATGTCTTCCCTTTTCTGGAGCTACTACTACTACTACCCACTTCTCTAGTGACTCTTAACATTTTCAGCCTGCTTTTATATCACTCACTGTGACATGGCAGGGCAGTGTGGTGAAAGGAGAGTATCCAGCCGAAAGTTAGGAGACCTGCCTCCCAGGCTTCAGTATGTCACTGAGAGTTTTGTAATATTGGGTGGGTGTCTTGACTTCCCTGAGCTTCATTGTTTTTCGTCTGTGAAATGGGGGAAGATTAACTGTGAAAGGAACACTCAAGTCTGTTCCAACTCCGATTATGTTATCTTTATGAAGTAGAAGTTAAGGCCCATTTTAAACAGTTTGACTGAGCTCTGTTTAGTTTTTCTTAATATAGGGATGGTAATAACATGATCTGTCTACTTCATAGGATTGTGAAGATAAAAGATTATAACAATGTGAAAATAGTTTAAAACTTCTATGAATGTAAGATGGTATTTGTTTAAGACTCTCAATAACTTTTAGGAGCAACATTTGTTTTTTTCTGAAATTTTGCTGCTGTTTAGCAAACACATATACCAAAATTCCAAAAAGGGAACATTTTTTAGCTGAGCTTAATTTTGTGTGTGTGTGTGTTTATTCCTTTTTACTTTTTCTATTTTTTCCTAAGCCATCACCAACATGAACTTGATAATTCTGTACCAAAAAGGTCTCAGTTAATACTTGTAATATTTTTCATCTTGTTAAAGTACTGCTTCAATTCTAAAGGACAGAAAGGCGAAAATACCTATCCATCTATTGCAAACTTCTTTTTAATGGAGTATTTTTATTACAGGCTTTTGCCCCTGATTTTGGATAATTTTATTTTATGAGTAAAGAAGTTAATAGCAGTGTAAAATTGAAAGTCTTTACCTGATATCTGCTTATCTAATGGAGGTAAAAAAAAAAAAGTATGTGAAGTATGCAATCAGGTTAAAGGAATCAGCTTTAGTCTTCCCTTTCAGTGTTGCATTTCTCTTCATTTAAGGGCCTTGTTTTCTCTGTGGGTTAATCAGGAGCAGAAAGCATGTTCCAAAGATTGGATTCTGGCAAGTTGTAGAAGTACTGTTAGTACCTATAAGATTTTTCTCCCCAGGGAGATTTTCATTATCAAAATCCATAAACATGTTTAGGATGTTTGTAACACAAAATTGATTTTTAAAATAACTATTCAGATAGGATTGACATAGCATACAGTTCACCTGTTTAAAGTGTACAGTTCAGTGGTTTTTAGTTCATCCACAGGGTTGTACATCCCAGTGCCACAATCAATTTTAGATCATCTTCGTCAGCCCCACAAGAAACCCCACACCCATTAGCAGTTTCTCCTGCCATTATCCCCACCATCCCACCTCTAGGCAGACATGAATCTCCTTCTGTATGCTTGCCTATCCTGTAGATTTTATATAGATAAAATAAATAATGTGACTTTTCTGACTGGCTGCTTTCACTTAGTGTAATGTTGTCAGGGTTTAGCCAGGGTATAGCATATATCAGCACTTCTTTTCTTTTTATTGCCAAAAAAATATTCCATTGTGTGGATGTATCACCTTTTATTTATCTTTTCATCAATTGATGGATGTTTGAGTTGTTTCTGCTTTTTGGCTATTACAAAGACTACTACTATGAATGTTTGTGTAAAAGTTATATGGACATATGTCTTTTATTTCTCTTGGAAATGTATACCTAGGAGTAGATTTGCTGGGTCATGTGATAATTCTATGTTTAACTTATAAAATCAATTATACACCATTGTTAAATGTTATTTCTACCTGTAGAACATTTTCTGGTTGTACTGTTTGCAAAGTCTTAATTTTGTCATATGGCCTTTACAACTATTCTGTGTAATGCAATTCTGTTGTTTTCTTACATACGAAAGTACTGTGTGTACTGTTTGTGTAGTTCTGTGAACTTAGTTTTGATTTGGGCCTGCTTAAATCGTCATGAGAAGTTCCTAGCGACTTTGCGTTAGGAAGTGAGAAATGAGGGACTTCATCTTGTAACTTTTAATTCTAGAGATGTGGTTAATAGAAGTATAAGAACAGGGAGTGGCAATAGTGATTTAGTCACCTCAATGAATCCCTGTTTTTATTTTTTATTTCATTTATTTTTATTAGTTGGAGGCTAATGACTTTACAAATTTTTTTGTCATACATTGACATGAATTAGCCATGGATTTACATGTATTCCCCATCCCGATCCCCCCT